GCAATGGAGGAGGGGCGTACCAAAGAGACCATCTAATCACAAGCAGAACTGGTTTGTTCCACTTTGGAGTAAGCTGTTGGAGGAAGAATCAGTTTTGTTGTGTATTTCCTTGACTGATGAAGCCCTCTGGATCGAAGGCGAAACATTTCAGCACAAAAAAAAAAAAAAGAAACTGTCCAGATGACCTGACTGAAAAATGTTGGAAATAGACACAATAATTTTCTTTTTTGCATGTTAAGGTTTGATCTGTACTGACCTTTTTGCAGTTACTGATGCTAATGCTCCAAATCAGTAATTTGTGCTGCATTGTGGTCCAGGTCTTTGGTTCTTTAACATCCAAATCAAACTGTACTTGTTATTTGTATATATGCATTACTACGACTGACTCTATGACTGACGATTTCTACCTGGATTATTGAGCATGCATCAGGATACTACGACTGACTGTCACCTTCTTATATGACAAAAAATTAAAGGAAATTATACTTGGGTTTGATGTTTCATGTTTGAGTTCACTTTCATCACCAGTTGGCGTGGATTCACACTTAGTCCAGTGTTCGTATCTACCTCTGTTTCAGCTGAGCTTTGTGAGCACAAGGTGCCTGATTTTCTGTAAAAGGCCAATCGGGATCATTTAGCTGTTAGACTGGTAGTGGACAAATATGAAGCTGAATGAATAAAATCCTTTAATTTTACAACACTTGCTCAAACTATCCATCTATCCATTATCTTTACCCGTTTCTTCTTTTTTGGGTCACGAGGGTCACTGATGCCCATGTTCAGCCATCTCTGTACAAGAGGCGGGGGACACCCTGGACAGGTCTCCAGTCCATCACAGAGACACATAGAGACAAATGAGACAAACAACCATTCACTCTCTCACTCACACCTAGGGACAACCAATCAGTCTAACATGCATGTTTTTGGTCTGTGCGCTGAAACAGGAGTACCCGGAGGAAGCCCACTCATGCACGGAGAGAACATGCAAACTCCACACAGAAAGGTCTCCAGTCGGCATTTGAACCGGGGCGACCTGCTCGCTGAAAGGCAGCAGCTTTACCAACTGCACCGCCGTGCTACCCTTGCTCAAACTAGACTTCTAAATCCAACAATGTTCAGTCAGGTCATCTGGACAGTTTCTTTTGCTGCTGAGATGTTTTGTCTTTCATCCGAAGGACTTCTTCAATCTGAGGAAGGCTCAGTTTGGTGGGCTCCTCAGACTGAATAAGTCCTTTGGATGAAGGACGAAACAACTCAGCAACAAAATAACCTGTCCAGATGACCTGACTGAACATTGTTGGATTTATACCTGGATTAATGAGCATGAA